CTTAACTTTTTTCCTAGGTGTATATTTTAGCATGGAGACAGTATTTAGATATTTGCAAAAATAAAGAACATGGAATCAACATTAGGCAGTAGGAAAGACAGAAGACTAGGCAGTGAGTCAGTGTCCATTTGGAGAGGGGTTGAAGAAAGACTTGAATGAACGACAAATGGGTGTGAATATGTGGGAATAGTAATAAGGGGGTTTGATTTGGCATTAAGGAGATCAATTACTGGAGCATGGGAAGCAACAGCGGCATATGAATGTGTATAAATGTACAATGAAGAATTAATAAGAGATACAGAAATGCTAGCTGGAACAAACTTCTTGTGCTCCACGTCAACTTGGAATAAAGTTAAGGTCTTTGATGTCTAGGAGACAATACAAGCTTTTTCTCAATAGGAGGCAAATAGCGATGCATCCTTGCAGTAGAAACTGGTCAGCCGAATATCGACCAAATATAAGAGTAATATAGTAACAAAAAAGGATTTTTAAATTGAATAATTAACAAAATATAAGTGAAAGTAGCCCAAACGCCAACGCTATTAATTTTCGGCTAAACACGTTCCTCGAAAATATCTCAGCGGTCACTTCCTCGTACGTTTTTTCTTTCCTCGTCTAATTTCAAATCTTAAAGCATTTTATTTTCTTGACACAAAATTCCGTGTCATACGGCTGGCTACTTAACATTTGTTTACATAATTAAAAATGATATTAGTATCCACTCGTCAGAGCTAGCGGAACCTACTGTTGATGTCTAATAAACATCACCTGTTTAATGTTTAATATACACTAAGAGACAGATGAACTACTGTTTAAGGCAAATACAAATTCATGTATGGCTGAACCAAACGACAAACGAAAATAAAATAAAAATTGCTACCTCGGAGTTCTAAATATCATCTCTTTAATCTGAATTAAATATGAAACTCTCTAAAATCATGAGCTTTTTTGTTTGCTGTTGTTTCAAGAAGAAATTGCATAGCCAGGGCGATAGAAAAAACTTACTTTGGAAATGAAATAAAGATTACATGCGACTTGTGAAAGAATTACAAAAAACAGTGGAAACTTTAGGTCTAATTTAAATATATATAAAAATGTTTTTTGAAAAATTGAAAGTCCTTTAATTATTTAGAGAAAGATTAGAACCTAAGTATTTTTGACAAATAAAGATGAAAATAACTGCTGTTACCATAACATTGCTTTCAAAGTTTCAATGCCAATTTCTCAAAATATATCTCCCTATGATATGTGAACGCAAGTGATGCCTATCGGTGTAACTTAACAAACACAGTAGTCGAAACCAGTAACTACCGAGTAAAGCAGATTGAGAATGAGAGAGGGAGTGTCGAAGCCTACATGGAAGGGAGTAAGGTTAGGTAACGTCTGACATCGAAAATTCCGTGTTTAACTTTCACAACAGGAATGAAATAATGTCAGTTATGGTAAGTTCAGTTTCTAGTTCAATGTTAATTTTTCACCAACGAACAATCTGAGATATTCTGTACAACTACTGAACTAGTAAAACTGAAAGTGTAGTCTTGAATTTAACTATTTTATTTTTAAAAGATGTTAATTGTTACTGTCGCTAACGCTCTCTTCTCATTTCATGTTATGTATGAGAAGATAAATGATGAATTTATGCTCTAATTGGTGTTCTTAAGAAATCTTGCAATAGTACTAATAGTGTAATAGTAATACATAAGCCATCAAGTAACTATCGTGTGTATCCATTCGCCTGACTCTTTACAAGTCATACTTCATAACCTTAGCATAACATGGTTATAAGTTAACCTATGTAATTATAGATGACTATTAGTTTTCATAATTTGTTTTGAAGTATTGACACTGATACTTTAGCGTAATAAGTTATCTTAGAAAGTGTACTTGAAATGAGTAAATGTTGTAGTGGTTTAAGATACTGTATCTGTCTTAAAACATCCAGGGTTTGAAACTCAGGTTTTGATTTCTACTTTATATGGTAGCTTCATTGTTATCTAATCCAGGAAACTCACCCAACCCAGAACTGGAAGGATCGACTGATTAAGAGCTCACTTAAGATTGTTAACTACTAACAAGTGTGCGATTGCAAAAGAAGTACTAGAATACCATTTAGGGAAGAGTGATCATTGTATAATTAGGTTTGATGTTTTTACTACACAATGAGGTAAAAATAAAGTTTTAGTTCCTAATATTCAGGTTGCCAATTTTGAGGCTGTGAAAAGATTTATTGTTACTGAATTGACACAGATTTGGATTTAATTTTTTTTGTAAGTAAACTGCATGTTCCTAATAAGAGGAAAAGATAACAGAGAAGATCAAACCTAATTGATATACTAAACAAATGAAAGATAAATATGTGCAGAGAATATTAATAAGGCAGTGGCTTATTGATAGAAAGGGGTCACTTTTCATGCATCCTAAGGCAAGCATACTTTTCTGGGGTAGGTGGGGTGTTAGAGGAGACTGTGGGTTGCCTATGGTACACAGAGTAAAGACAGATTCACTTTATTTTTGTATTCAGTTGGTCTTATAAACATTTTTACAATCTAAAACTAAACAGTGAATTACTTAATAGCACATCATAGTTGTTGTTTTTTTACTATAAAGACCTGCAAACCCTATGTGCCATTAATTTGAGTGCTAAAATCTTCTTTTTTTTTAACTTGCAGCAAGCCGGTTGTGGAATCATATCTTTTCATAGTTGTTAAAGATTTTTATGACAAAGAAAAATAAAAGGCACTTTTGAGGCATAAGGATAGGACGATGGGCTTGAGCCCACCCTCTTGTGCACATCACTGAATATGAGGATAAGTGCCATAACTTTAAGATTGTTCAATTGAAAAGTAAGATGAAATATTTATAGCAAGGCTAGTGATTAGGCAAAAATGAAATTAGGAAGTCCAAAAGGACTTAAGAGAAACAGCTAGCTGATGCTATTAAAACTAACAGCAAGGGTGTTTTTGTAGTATTTTAATGGTAAGAAAAATATTAGAATGGAGGATGTAAAAAGATCTAAAAGATGCTAATGACAAGGTTTGTGTTTAAGACAAAGAAATGGTTGAGCTTTTAAATTTAATTTTCTGTTTTTACAATAATCATTTTATGTAAAATATTAGAATTGAGGTGAATTATCTAGAAGTCAATCCCTTGGTGGTAAGTAAAGACTTAAAGAAAATAAAAGTAGATAAAACACCAGGTCCAGCCAAGGTTTTCCCCAGGATTTTAGACAAGGACCAAAATCAGATATGGTTAAGAATCTCTCATGTTTTAATATATAAGTAGAGAGTGGACAGGTGTTTTAGGGTTGGAGACATTATTCCAGTTGTTAGAAGATAAGAGTTGCCATGGGAATTATAGGCCAGTTAGTCAATCTTACTTCTGTTATAGGAACAGTTCTAGAGGGTGTAATAAAGGAAACTATTACTTGAAATTGGATGTTTAAGTGCACAGGAGACTAGAAATCATTATTAAAATAAATACGACCACAAACTCCAGGTAAAAAGAATATATATTTTAATGTACCTCATGTTTTGAGTTATGATGAGATCTCAGATCAGAATGAACCAGGAACTGTTTTAAACTTTTTCAAAGTTTTTGTATCAATCATATACGAGATGATAATTGTTAATATCAAAAAATGATATTCAGAAGATAGTGGTATTGATGAAACTTGCACCACTGAAAATGTGGTATATGAAATACAATATACACTGTGTTCAAAGACATGCTGGTGAAACTAGTTGCCTGCTACATAAAAGATTTCGAGAAAACGTCGGTGATATCAAACATTTTACGCAAAAAGAAGCTACAGTTGAGCATGTTGTTTGAACACTTGAGCTGCCTGATGAAGTACCTCTTAAAATTAAAGTGTTAGAAAAACATAATTATTTAGAAAGAAAATATACAGAGAGACTTGTTAACTAAAGATAAAAGTCCTCTCTGAAACAGACATAAAGGTTATCCTGTCTAAATTCAAATTTATATAATGAACAATGCTGTACATACACGTGTATAAATATTTATATTTATTTGTTTGTTCTTCAAGAAAATATAAGTTGTATATAAGTTGTATAAAGTTTATATAATGAACAATGCTGTACATACACGTGTATAAATATTTATATTTATTTGTTTGTTCTTCAAGAAAATATAAGTTGTATCGAGCGACATCATATCATGATATGTATTTGCATTGTTGTATTGAGTTCGATCAGGTTGTATGTTCGAATTTATTCAACTGTAGATATCTAACTCCTGATAAAAAAACATCAGGTACATTAATATATTTTTTTATGTGGAGTTGGTGGTCATATTTATTTTAATAGTGATAGAAAAGCTTTACAAAACCATTAGTGAAATATGACCTTGTAAATCAAAACTAATGTATATTCTCCAAAGGAATATCTTGCCTCATTTATCTGTTATCTTTTTTCTAGGATGTTCTTGTAACTTGGATTGTGGAAGGGGTGTATACTTGGTGTACTTAAATATTCAAAAGGTTTGAGTGAGGAAACACATTATAATAATATAATAACAAGTATGCAAACAAAGGTTTTATTGATGGTGGAACATACTACATGTTTCAAGAGAACATTGGTCTGTCTTCTTGAGGTCTGAAGAAAACAGATCAATGTCCTGTCGAAACATAGTATGTTCCACCATCAATAAAACTCTTCCTTATGCTTACAAATAATTGTTTGCATACTTGTTATGATTCAAAAGGCCACACAAGGTGCCACACAAAAATAAGTTAAGAAAATCTTATTGAGAAAAGGCTATAAATAATTGGGTTGATGGGTGAATGAGTGAGAGGAAATGAAAAATGGTTGCTATTAATGGAGTCGATTCAATAAATGGTTGCTATTAATGGAGTCGTTTCAATAAATGGTTGCTATTAATGGACTCGTTTCAATAAATGGTTGCTATTAATGGAGTCGTTTCAATAAATGGTTGCTATTAATGGAGTGGATTCGATAAATGGTTGCTATTAATGGACTCGTTTCAATAAATGGTTGCTATTAATGGAGTCGTTTCAATAAATGGTTGCTATTAATGGACTCGTTTCAATAAATGGTTGCTATTAATGGAGTCGTTTCAATAAATGGTTGCTATTATTGGAGTCGTTTCAATAAATGGTTGCTATTATTGGAGTCGAT